GCTGTTGTTTTAATTAAATACGATCCAAATGTGTTGCAAGCAGTTGTTACCATTGTGTCTATACGCTTGTAATAAAACTTCATGTCCTGACTTCATCTCTCTTACGCAACCCCGATCTAGTTACGAAATGCTATTTGATATGGAAGATCGCTAACTTGCGGGTTCATCAATGGCAGATAACAGTGTCTCTTTACAAAGTCGACAAATGTTTCACACTGGCATTAATGTAAGGAGGGAATCAATAGGGTAAGGCTATATGGAAGGTTGAAAGAAGGAAAGAAATCGATTATGAAAAATGGAACCATTTATGGCAAACGTTTTAATAAACAGACCAAAACTTGTAGGAGCATCACAAAAAATTGAAGTTGGCTTCCAAAAGACTGGTAATTATTCTTCAGTAATTATGCTCTTACTTTACGATTCAACACAGTGATCTAATTTTCTGTCCATGTACTGCATGTGCTATAACACCATGAAGACATGACAAACACAAATGGTGTCCTGGGCCATTAGCAGCAATGAGAACGATGTGATTTTAAGGCCAAACGAATTTAACGAAACGACACGTAGAAAATGCCAACGGCTTTAGCGCTATTTGACTCAAGAGCATTGGAGGTAAAATGATTCATATTTATAGCCGCTGCTCCAAAATGAACTCAGTTTGGAGGTAGTCTCAGAAGCCTGACAACCGGTAAATCGTGAACATAAGTGAAACAAGGCATACACAGGCAAAAAAATTCTCAACCGTATTTAAACAACTGCTTAACAGTGAAACGACCTGACCACTCAAAGCAGAATCAAACGACATATCGAGCCACGCAATTCGTCAGTCATTATCTTCCTCGGTGAACAGGGTCTTCTTGCCAGCTGGTTTCATCTTACTCAGTTGCTTTTGATTCAATTTAGCTTTCCATGACGGGTGTATATCCTGCCCCGTGTCGACTAAATTTGATATTATGTTTCAAATTCCACTCTGATCAGAATATATTTCTTTAAATGATAACTTACCCAGAATGTCTGGCTCTTTGAGATGACTTATTCGATGGTCGTTCAATTCTCCCCGGCTAAACAGAAAATAAGCATTCACATCATTAATAAAAATACATATTTACTAGCTTGATTCCGCTCCAAATTTAGTAGAACATTAAAAAAATCATCTGAAAGTAACAAACTATCAAAAAGAAGTGAACTGAAGAAATTGTTGAATTCTGCCACTAGTTAATTCTAAACCTTAAGTTCGTGAAGAAATCGCAATCACTCAAGACGCAATGTTTCAAGGCACCTATTACTGTTGGCATCTTGTAGAATTTGTCACAGAGCCGTGCAACTGGCTGCAAAACAGTATTCAGGCACTAAATTCAGTGTGTATTCCTAAAGAAGTGGAAGATCATGCATCATTACGGTATTTCATCTGGCCTACTGATCGATCACGTTTTTCAGAACCTTCATGATACTGCATGTGATGGGAAAACTGAAGGCAAACTATCTGACTAGTTTAAAATTTGAAATGGTGTGACACAAGGCCAATGGTCTTTGGTGACGATGCAAAAAAACCTCACTGCAGAATGTCTGACGTTAAGCCGAAGGCGGAGCTGAATGCATCCAGCCATACATATCACGTACTTTCATCACGCAGACGACATCCATATTGCTCAGCAATTCCCAGTAGTGGAAATTCCGCCACGGCCGGTCCCAAGCCCGGATGAGAAAGGAGGAGGGTTGGAGACCGTGGCAAGTCTCCGTAAA